AAAAAAAAAAAAATGAAATTGCCTGTAGCGCAAAAGGGTGCAGGAGCTATTTTTGGGTGATTTTCACATGATTTGGGTCTCTGACATCTCTAGGCATTGAAAACCACATGGTTTTCAAAGCAAAAAAACACCCAAACACAGCTCACCAGCGCAATCACCTAGGTGTGAACCTAGCCTAAAAGGAAAAAGAAAAACATTTCCAGGGTTTTTTTATAATTAACTTTGATCTTATTTCCTAAAATATAGAGTATTTAAAACAAAAGGGTTTACATCTACTCTAAAATCCAGTAGCTTTTAGCACCTCCCTTTTCTAATTCATCCGGTCTTGGAAAATCTGCATCTGCCTTGACAAATTCTGTTATTTGGATTGAGATAACAGAGTTACTTGTGTGGATATAAACGCAGAGGTATGTTTATAACCTGACACTAGTTAGAACTGAAGTTAACTGAATAAGCAGCAAAACATCTTCCATAGAACAAGTTCTGTTGAATGTGACTAAATCCTACTAGCTGACCTCTCCCTTCTCTTATCTGAATCTAGAACAAAATGGAGTTGGGCTTTAAAGATAAACAGTAGTACAATACATATCGGCTTTTACTTTTCCTGCAAAACGTTGTGATAAGGCCGGTCAGCAAACGCAGATTTGTGAATATGCATAGCTACTCTATACAAGCTATTGACCTACCAGAATGGTCTTCTGTATCTAAAGGTTTCTTTTAATAAAGTACAGGGTTTATTCAAACAAGATTACTCACATGTCAAACCCTGACCTTCTACTGAAAATTCACACAGAAAATCTGAAACAGGAAGATAGTACTATAACTTACTGTCCTATTTCCTTCTTCACAGTGTTTACAGGATATCCTTCTATTTAATGTTTATTTGGAACATTACAACTGGCCCGCCTTTCACGTGGTTTACTAGCAAATGCAAAACAAAGTCTATTCTTCTGTTGCAATATTTTTATTAGAGTTTTACAGGGGTACAGTAAAATACAATACAATACAGATATTCTGACTCTGCTATGGGGACCATCTCATGGGGGTGAATAATAATTGGAAAGTAGCATGATAGAACTGGGGATAGTTTTTATGAAGGTAGCGTGGGCAGGATGTCGTGGAGAATCTGGTCTCCTGCAGGCAGATGACATCCGCATGGCAGGAGGAGTAGTATGAGAAAGCCTTATGCCGTTTGGAAGGTGAATTGAGCCCCTGAACGTTGTGTGAAATCAATACAAACTTACTAGCCATTAAAGGAGGAGAAGTGGGATGATGCTTGAGATTGCAGCCGCACACCACAGTAGGGGTAGATAGGGTAGTCCGCACGGTCCAGTGAGAGAGCCTGATTTGATGGGTAGGATGTTGATCCAAGAGAGATGTAGGGGAGGGAGGGGAAGAAAACCTTTAGGGTAAGACAAAAAACAGGTTAAAACAAAAAAACGGAAGAACCATAAGGTACAACAGTAGCAGCCGTCCGTGAGGATCGGCCTCGCAGGTAACGGGATCGGAACTATCCGTCCCATTGCTTGCCATGCGGAGGGGTGTTACCACCGATCCCCATGGAAAGCGATATCTTGTCAGTCATGACTACCTGAATAAAGCCATTTACAACTACCAATTAACATCAGACATCAACGGAGTCTAAAAAGTAAACAGGTGCTTCAGCCCGCAAGAACCGGAGTGAGCGCGGGGGCGTCCGAGGGAGCCGGCATCATGGTACCCCGGTCATATGGGAGCACAACGGGTACTCGCCCAGGTGGCAAGGGCAGGGGCATCGACAGCATCAGTAAGCAACCTCAGGCACCCCGCTTCTCCCTCAGTAACTTATAGGTTGACGGCCCAGTGGCCAACTCGGTGGAGGGCAAACTTTAATGGGGGAGTCGCTAAGAAAAACTGGAACCAGGTGGACCTCACGCCATCAGGTCGGATCTGCTGGAAGGGGGTTGTCTCTCTGCTTCTTCTGCGGGGATGTTCGCTTCTTCTGTTGCCTCTCCCAGATTGGGCTCGGTGGGACTGTAAGACGCTTCTCTTTCTGTGATGAAGTGTGCAGTTGTGAGGGGGGCAGTAGAGATAAGTCCGTGAGAATCTTGCGGAGGTCGTCTGGGGTAGATGCTGCAAACGGTTTCCCATCCCAGTTGAATAGCACCTTAAAGGGGAACCCCCAGCGGTACGGGACGTTTTGCGCTCGGAGCACTTCCAGCATGGGTTTCAGCTCTCTCCGCCGTTGGAGCGTGGTTGGGGAGAGGTCAGCATAGATTTGATACGGATGACCCTGGAAGATTAGGTCTCTGTGTCCTCTGGCGGCAGACAAAATGGCCTCTTTGGTCTTATAGTAGGTGAACTTGATGATTATGTCCCTTGGAGGACCATCGCGTCGTCTTTGTGCCAGGGCCCTATGTATGCGATCGAATTCTAGGCGATCAATAGGGATAGATGGAACCAGTTCCTGAAAAAGAGCTGTGGCTGAGGAAGTCAAATCCTCCATGAATTCAGGTAGGCCCCTAAGCCGCAGATTCCCGCGTCTGGCGCGGTTTTCTAGGTCTTCCAATTTGTCTAGTGCGACCCCCAGCTGCTCAGAGATTGAATCAAATTCCCTCTCTTGAGATTCCACAATCGTAATCACATTGTCCATCTTGGTTTCTAGAAGATCTGTGCGGGTGCCTATCTCTTTAATTTCAGACGATAACACTGCAGCCAGCTTGTCAGTTGCCAGAGTTAGCTCAGTTTGCAGCATCGTGCGGAATTTATCCAATAAGGCCATGTCCCTGACACTCACTGGGTCGTCTGCTGGGGTCAGGGGCATGCTATCGAGGGATGAGGAATCAAATACCTACTCTCTGCTTCTTCTGCGGGGATGTTCGCTTCTTCTGTTGCCTCTCCCAGATTGGGCTCGGTGGGACTGTAAGACGCTTCTCTTTCTGTGCTGAAATGTGCACTTGT